TATCTGGTTTCGGATATCGCTGACGCGAGTTTTACATGCGCAACGATTGCACATTGTAGGCCTCTTATTAAAATCTTTTATTAAATTAGAGCGTGTTACGTATACTACGCACTACAGAATAATACGTCGTAGGAATGCATTAAACTTCTAGACTAAGCACTCCCGCGCTGCACACAGATTGCTAAGTTGTACATGGTGAATAGCAACAGATGAAATAGAATACCACCTAGTTTCCAGCTAATACTACTTACAATTAGTCCAATTGTTCTTAATACAGCGGATTCAGTTTCACACCTTAATTTTAATTTTCTTTCCTAATCAAAATATCTATTTTCCTAATCAAAATATATATTCACAGTATTTCGTTAAACGTTGGGAAGCATCGTTACTGGAGCACAACTATCTACTTTATATACCTTCCGAGGCTGAAAACTACGGGAAACTGAAACACATCAACTGTGTTTTGTAATGCGAAGCATGCTACCCTGAATTTAAACTACGATGCGTCAATGTGCCTCTAGGATTCCTACAACGAATCCTACAACTATGTATATTTTCTATCTTTCTTAATTTGCAGATTTTTAAGATACATACATACCTTGTCTACATAAATCATACTCACCTACAAACGAGAATTGAAATGGGTTAATCAAAAATACACAACAAACATCTCTTCCCGATAAACTTTCTCTTTTATAAAGCCCCACGAGGAAAAGTGTAAAGATGTCGAGTCTGGTGATCTTGGTCAAGGAAATACTATTTCCTCTTCTTATGCGGCAATACGAAAGCTTGCATTAGGGCAATAATTTGAGCAACTATTGCAAGGTTGGCACTATCGCGTTTAGAGATAGAATAAATCACTGTATCGATGCCCAAGGTCATCCCTTCATTACGTGCGAAATACAGGAGATAAGGGACAATTTCAAGAACGTTCTGCGAATGAACTTTAACATATGTGAACAAAGTTGCTTCGAAATGGACTATATATCTGGCTAAACGGAAACATATAGTTCAATTTAAAAAGAAACGAAGATCACCTTCAGATCTCGAAACCGAAATAATTTCATGGGTGAAATAAACTAAAACGATCAAAGTAATAATAATTTCAATATTTTTAAAAATATAACGTTACTTCAAATTTATCAACTGCTTCAGAAATATCGACACATTTATGTTTCAAAAATGTTTACACGCTTGTGCAGGAAAAATAGTATTTGTTGGAGAATCGGAGATTTCATACTGATCGCAAATCTCTCTATCGGGAGGTGTATAGACAGAGAAATATGTTTAGTTCTTTCACAGGCAGTTATCGACGAACGAAACAAAGAAAGTTTTACGATGAAGTTTCATCGTATAATAATCGAAATGGATAGGAAGGATCGATTCGTTCGACGAGTTTGTACGGTTTCGAAAGTTGGTGGGTAGTAGAGTGCGCGGGCCAGATGCCGTAGCTGAAACCGGAAGAGCACAAAACGGGCAGATGCGATGCAGTTGGCCGCAATGGCGATAGAATAGTGAGGCTCTGGCATAACGCGCATAATAACGCGCGCTCCAGGCCTTCGTAAAATGAGATACGACAGTAGGCAACGAGGCGCGGGAAGGAGACGGCAGGGAACCACGTGGAAGAGTGAAACAGAGTGAACGGGACAGACAGAAATAGATAGACGCCAGGGAACACAGAGGGGCAGTGCCTATCACTCGGAGAGATCCAATACAATGCGAACTATTGTACCCACGTTCGCCATCCACTCCAATTCCTAGGCTGGAGATATGCAGCTAGCTCGATCCTGCACTTGCTGCGCACGCTGCATACATCTATCGGAACGTTACACATACCTACCAGTGTGTCTATAGTACGACTTCCGCAAGGATACGAATGAGTTCAAAGTGGAACGAATGAAGAGATTATTTGACATTGTAGCCTGGCAAATGACATGTTTTATAATTCGAATTCATCGACTGCACAGAAATAGCTTCCTTAAAGCTAACACTACCAATCTGTAGTGTACTGGTAAGTAGATGATTATACCTATAACTAGTATGATAGTACAAAAAGGAATAGGTACAGACAAAACGAATATATATATAACTATATGAGTATAACTAGGGTCATATCATATATATATATATATATATATATATATATAACATATATTATTAACATATATTATATATATATATATAACATATATATATATATATATATATATATATATAACATATATTATTAACATATATTATATATATATATATAACGAATATCATCTTATTTGCATATGTGAATTTTACGCCAATACGCCAGCTTATCTTTATGATTGTGTCAAGAGTGACACTGGCAATAGGAGCAACCTCTCCTCACAACCAGTTAACCGCGTTCGATCTGTATACACGTCAATCCAAAACTATATTTCGGCGTGTTTGATGCGAATACTTCGCATTCGCGCGAAGTAAAAAGTTAGCATTTACTATAAAAACCCAAAATTTTAGTAAAAGGTAATATAAATGACATTTACTGGTATATTGCCCTTATACTTCCAGTAAACCTATTACGTATTTTATAAAAAATAGTTTGATCATTTGATTATTATCTTTGATCTATCGGTTATGCTCCATATAATTTATTGCTTTTTATAAATGGAGTTGATTATTTTCCCTCATGCATCTCCCTATTTGTGAACTTTCCCGCGTATATCGGCTATTTTACGAATTATTTCGTCTATTTTACTTTGTTATTTCTTGGCAATTTTTGAGTTTTTAATAGCGATACCTTTTTCAACAGTGAATTGTTAATTTTTTATTGAAAAAAAGTAATTCTTCCTCGTTTTGCTTTATCTTTTTTGTAAAATTTATAATAAATTGCCCTGCGTCCGATGCGTATACTCGTCATTGCTTGATTGCAACTACGCACCCCATAAGGGATTTTTTAAGCCAAACTCCGCAGTTGACAGATTGAGGAATTTCTCCGGCAATACCGAACTTTGTCAGCATGTAATAAAAATATCATTGAATCAAACAAAAATGTTTTCATAAACAAGCGTGCAAACATCATTAAAAAGCCACTTTCGGGGTTACGAGACGTCTAGTGCATAATACTGTATAAAGATACAAAGAATCGAAAATTATTGCCAAGAGATAACAGAAACTCCGGGAATGTTTCAACGTGCGCGTGCTTCTATGAGAAAATGTGGCAAAGCGTGTGTTTAAATGAACAGAGGACATATTGCGCACATGCAGTAAAGATAGTGTCTTACTGACAAGAAACTGACCTCGTAACTCAGAAACTAATGCTTTTTAATCCATATTTATCAAGACCTTTCTCGCTTGTTTCGATGATTACTATACGTTCCCAAAGTTTCCCTCCAACTTTGATGCACATCCTGTACGCATTTAGTGGCCGTAAAATTAGTGGTTGTACGTTGTATCGATAGAAAATAAAGAAACTATTTACCGTTCGCTGACATGCTAATTCGTGTCTTTAGCATAATTTATAAAACCGCCGATATAAATATATGGAGCTATACATGTTTGTTTATGTTATGCAACGTGTACAAAGTGTTTTATTTACATTGTTTCATTCAATAGAGTTCTATTCTTAGATTAAAGATAGATTAAAAAAATTAAATATCTTTCTTACGCAATCTTTACATACGATATCAGGCGGAGGCTCCTACAAATACGCGTTTAATCGATAACAGAACCAGAAAATTCCAGAACTTTCAGAACTCTAAAATTTAATTTACAAACAAACATTTACACGTTCATATTATGTGTTGTAACGATATCTTATGTATCCTGTCCCAAACAATTACATACCTATTGCATAATATTTAGATGCAGACTACTTATTTCAGGATTTCCAAAGAATCTATAAACCCGGTAAAATTAAAGTCAAGAAGGAGTGTGCAGGAAATGTTTAAAAGTTTATTTCTGTATATTAACATTTGGTAATATTACTTGAGGATACATTTTATTTCCGTTATTTAATTAATACGAAATAAAAAGGTAATTACCTTTTAGTTACTCCTCTTACGATTTGGCTTCAAACAAAAAATGTCTATCTACTTTGTTCTAAATTGCTTATGCACGTACATATCTGTTTCAAAGATACATAGAGCATGCATGCATGCATATTATATGTTTGAATTCAATACTAAATTTTGACATTTTACAGGGACGTAAGTAGTGAAAGTAAATGAAATACATCCGGGGCGATCACGCTATCAGTTTCCAGCGTTCTTCTCGCAAACGGCAAGTATCAGGAAAAAGTGAAGAAGGAAAAGGATGAATAATTCGAAGTAAACTACATATTCACGATAATATTTTTTCCGCGAGTACAAATATACAGGGTGGTTGGTAACTGGTGGTACAAGCGGAAAGGGGGTGATTCTACGCGAAAAAAGAAGTCGAAAATATAGAATAAAAATTTTTCGTTCGAGGCTTTGTTTTCGAGAAAATCGACTTTGAATCTTCGCTCGGTACGCGTGCACTTTATCGCGTCTCGTTATAACGGATCTCACTGTAAATCGTTGTACCGATGGAAAAATTAAAAAAAATTACAAAAAACATTTTTATTCTATATTTTCGACTTCTTTTTTCACGTAGAATCACCCCCTTTCCGCTCGTACCACCAGTTACCAACCACCCTGTATAATGAATTACACGGCTACTTTTAATTCGATAAAAAGTTTTTCGTACCGAAAATAATCATCGAAAGGGACCAATTTATTCAGATACGATCGTACATTTAATTGAAAATTATGTTGTAAAAATTGTTCACCTAATTGAATTACATCCTACAAGCGTACGATCTAATATCGATATACGTAGCTCGGTATTATATAACTAAAGTTGGTGTTTCGTGTTTAACTGTAGATGCGAGTTACTTCTGCTTCATGAGCCTGAGCACGATCGGGTTCGGTGATATGGTTCCCGGTTCCTATCCCCGCCAAAGCCTTTACGAGTCGAGGAATGTAACCATTTGGTTCTGTTCTTTCTACATAATGTCTGGAATGGCGCTGACTGCGATGTGCTTCAACATCCTGCACGATGAAATCGTTCACAGGCTTAGCCATCAGTCGGAGAAACAAGAACCAGTGAAAGCCAGCCCGAGTGTGGACGAACTATCGAGCGATCCTCTCACGTTAACCTCGTGACAATTTCCGTCTGGCAACTTGTGCCACAGGAACGGCACCGATGACAACGATATATGTGGAACAGAACCGCCAACCAACTTGTTCACCCATGAGAACGAAATTAATATCCTAAAGGATTCTTTCAATCAGGTAGACGTCACTAGAGACTGCAAGCCAATTTTGAAACTCGAGGATCACGTTCCGCCGATTCCTGGTGTCTACATGTTGCCGAAGGTCGACGAAGAGGTTGAAGAAAACACCGAAATGTAAAACTTTGTCTTCTCGTAGTCGGAAAAGTATGTTGCATAGAAATAACGAAGCAAAGGACGACCTGTTTAGATAGTTTCGTTCTCGAGAACGCTCTCGTGGAACACGACGTTGTTCGAGATTGATAGGTACCCTTAATACATCGTATATATTATAAATAGAGAGGTATTAAGAAAGTAGTTTTCTGCATATGTTAAAATGCTATGACGTTATCGATATTTGGTTTTTGATCGAATTTGTACGTGATTATATCTATGAACGTACCATCCGTTGAAAATTAAAGGAGATTTTGTATGATACATGTGTTTTGAAGGCGAAAGTGACCATATAAATGATCACCTGATTGAAAAGGAACGATGAATATCGTCTATCTATCTATCTACAATAGTATCTATTTGCAGGTAATCGTTAATAGTTCACATTGGTGAATATGTTAAAAATAGCAGTTGAGATTGCAATGGAGTACTATATATTTTGCTAACACAAGATGAAAGAATAAAGAAATCGGTAACCAAAAATCTAGAAGCATGTATGAAATTTGCCGTCGTTCGATCGTTTGAATACATTTTACGAGGGTAAAGAAACGTAAAACGTTTCTAAAATAAATTTAAGTTTAAGTTAGTTTAAGTGAGCATAGGTTGCTACAAGTTATCGTTTGGTGTCGTTTGTAAGAAAGGTAATCGGAAACCTTGGAACCCCTTAAGCCACGCGAATAATCAGTAAAATTCTAGTACTAAAATAAATTTTATATCATTTCCAAACAAAATCAAAGTTTAATCAATTCTCTATCTTCATTCGCTCTTTCATTATCTGTTACATATTAAATTTAATAGAATAAGTAATTTCGTAAACATTGTGTTGAAAAGGATTACCAAATTCTGTCGGATGTCATTGCGGTTCAGACTAGTTGTTGTTTACTCGATTTATTTAAAATACAGGTTTGTGAGACTTGTCTGTATAGATATTTACTTTAGACAGATATTACGTTGTCGCTGAATACTAATGCATTTTCATTCATGACGTGATTTCCTTCCGTGTTAGCACGTGACTAAACTGTACACTGTGCACGGTATCCTAAAATTTCTTGGATTAAGTGATGGTATATTCATAGAAATGATAGTGAATTTTCTGGTTAATAACATTTATAACATTTATATACAGCAATAATATAGGTACAATATTAAACAATCTGATATTAAACTCTTCTATTGAATTTCGTTATAATTTTTTAAAATTAAAGTTTTGTGACCTGAAGTTTATATTCATAATTATGTTACATATAGTTGCATTTTTGATATTATTTGTGATTATTGATATCAGCTATCATTAAAATAGAAAGGATAAGTGCCAAAACGTTTTCTTACAAGATTGCACTTCAGAAAGTCACGCATACACACATAAATATCGGAACACTTTAGCCGATTTGTAACAGCGTAATTAGTAAAATGTATACATTAGTGTACAACTAATCGTTAAAGGCAATACTTAACATTTTTTAATAGAATGAACAAATGATAAAATTTAATTGTAATTAATTTAATTACATTTATTGTAGAACAATATTGTAGCCTTGTTTATAATTTATTGGCCAATATCAACAGATGTGATTCTAACGCCTTCTTTAATATTTTTCTGTTTTCTCCGCAGAAAACGATTTAGAGGTATAAAATTATAAACGTGCAGGCAGACAGATTCTTGAAACATTTATGGGTCTCATATTTTTTTGCCAGGTCACATAATTTTTCCAACAGAATTAACTGCAGAGAGTTACATTCTGGATTGAATTCCTTGATATCGTTTACTATAGAATATCCTTTAGCTACGATATTATACTTGTCTTTATAACGTATAAAGAATATTTGCATAGAAAATTAGTTCGAAAAGAATTCAACAAATTTGCAAATTCCGCGTTGTATTTGCATTACAAAAAGCTAATAATCATACATCTGCGATCCGTAACTAGAGAGAGTATACATATCTACGATATACAATTTATTATTGTCCAGTATTATTTATTTATTATTAGGTAATTTAAAACTAATTGTGCAACTTAAAACAAACCTCTTTCTTCGTGAATTTATTATCCACTTAAAACTTTTTCTTTGGTATTGAAGAGGTGTCAAATCGTGTATGGATTAGAAAGTAGAGGAGATGAATACGAAGTATTATAAAATGTCACCACAGGACATTATCAGGATCAGGTAAGATTTACTATTTATATCAAAAAAAGAAAAAAATAGAATTGCACAGATAACGTGGAAAAAAAGGATCAAAAGAAAAAAAGGAAAATAGAGAGGTAAAGCAGTGAGAGACAAAGAAGGACGAGTAACGGAGAAGGAATTAGTTGTTAGGAACGAGAGAAAACAAGAAAGATAATGCTGGGAAAAGAAGAGATTCGGTTTAGGATTTCCGCAATGGGGCTAGAAGATCGAAGATGAAATAAAATGGGATGCAAAGCTAGTGAGGGAAATAGATAGATGGTGGAAGATAAAGCATAACCGTTCGCGAGAGAGAAACTGGAGAAAAGGAAGGAGAGAGAAACAAGGTAGGAAGGGAACAGGCGTTTACGTGCGCCAGACATCCGATGATGCATAGTTGCTGTTGACATGCTGGAATGTCAGGCTCACATGACCTCTCGAGCACAGCCATTATCCGCAAAGCGACCCCCAATTTAGGACAATAACCGCTTCGTAGAGTCGTGTAATAATTATTGGCCGGTTTTCGAGTTCACCCTTTTACCCCCTTTAGTTATCAGTGCCAGCATTTTGTCACAATCACTGCCTAATAATTATTTGGAACAGCAATATGTATAGATAGTCATCGCAAGGAATAGCTGTGTATTTTGGGCATCACCTGTGATTTTACGTAGTAAATATCGATACTATTATACTATCATACTATCTACATCCTACTTTCGTATATCGAAAGAAGCCATTCTAAATTTAGTTGAAATAAATAATAGATTTTATTAATTCGTAAATATAAGTATCTATATTTTTTATTGCTCTGAGGAATCATGAAATATAGAGTTGTAAAAGTACAGATTACAACGAAAAAGGAAAGGAAATAATTGCATGTATGTATACATGTATTGGAAACAATATCCGAATTGATTAAGAAACTTTTGTATTTCGCGTTTCTTGCGAAGAAACTCACAATCTCAATGAACTTTGCACACTTGTTTGCCTTGTGCACTGAAATTTTACACGTGTCCTTTCGAAAACTATGATTTTCTTCGATTCTCTTGTGCAATGATTCTTTTGTGCAAGAACTGCAATTTAACATATAATTCGACATCAGCCGTTTAAAAAATTCTCTTTCGTGTCACTGACATATTTCGATGGCTCGAATCTTATGTTTGAAACTGTGACACAATTCCCGCCTTGTCTTATGCTGCGTCCCCTCGACAGAAGCGACATTTTCGTCATGAATATTTTGCCAATCAGGTGACGATCACATGTCGGTTGTACGATACTCGTACGACGGCAAAGAGATGGTTATTCGCAGATAATCGATAACTGTTTGTCTCCCGCATGATAAATAATGAAAAAATTAATGGAGTTTATCCGTCAATATTTATTTTTATATAATGATATCGATAAAACTTTTGTTCATCGTGATATGATTAACTGTATGTATGACGTGTGAAATTCATATTCAATCGCTCTCCATTGCAGATTTTTATGTATATTCAATATCTCTTTTATTTCACCAAATAATTTGGTTTTATCATCATCTTGATTTTCGTAAATATAAACAAACGTACACTCGTTTCTTCGATACCAAATTCTGATTCTGCTCTCCTATTCTCTTCGTAGAGTGTGCCGATATATTGCTAATGTTGTGTCGATGTGATATTATGAACGTCGATATGTTAGGTATGCGACAAATAGCATCGTGGATAACTGAGCTTGGTTGAACTTATGCTCTGCTGTTAAATAAGCGGCAACCTCAAGCCGTTAAATGACCGGGCAATTACGATTGGTAAATATTGCGTTTAGTGAACAGCGTCATACAAAGGATGTAATATATTTATAGCAGAAATGCAAATATAATTGACGAGAATTATAAGTATACAATGAGACAACCATAAAGAGGCAAAACAAGTTCTACAACTAAATGAATATAATTAGTTAAATTTACAAGTTTAATTTCAGCCGTTTCAATATTTTTCGTTTTAAACTTATAATTAAGCTTAACTGTCACGTAAAGCTTAGGCGACAGCAATTTCATCATTCTTATTCAAACAAAGTCATTATCCTCGATGATTCATTATCAGTCTTATCGACGTTATCAACGTTTGACAACGATTTAAAATAAACAATACCATTATCACTAACTGCTCTTTCGAAAATATGCAACTCTTTTCTATTTTACAAGTTGATAAACAAGGTACGCGTGCTCCTGTATAGGCTGTATGCAATTGCCTATAGATACTGAAATAGTATGCGTAACGTTTTCAGAAATAAAGCTACGATATATCGATATGATATATCGAATAATGATAAAGCGGAAAATCAAGCGATGAAACGAAATGGGATATTTTCTGTAAAATATAATTACTTAATTAAATTCGAAATTTGTAGGATTTCAGTGAAAAGATAACGCGAGGACAATTAACAATAAAACGTGACTCGTATGACGCAATGAAATATACGTGCATAAACTGTCTGAAAATTACATGAAGCACGAAACAGCTGGATGACAGCCGACATGAACAGTAAAGTAACAATATTGTCCTCATTTATTTGAGATTTATTATATGATGACATTAATAGAATGCACAAAAAATTAAACCATAGCGTACTTCGACAATATTAGCACCCTTTAACTGTACTCTTTAGCGACTATATCCTTCCGACATGTTATTACCTTCTTTTAGAGATTCACAATTTTTGAAAGGAGGCTCGTAAAGAATTTGTAGAAAATTTATGATAAGAAAGTATAAATTGTCATTTCAAGTAAATTTCCATGTTGGCAAGAATAGCTTTTAAGGATACAATTGTGTGATGTAGATAAGACAGAAAAGATATATGGAAACGATGTGGAGAACTGTAATAAAAAAGGAATAAGAAAATCTAATCAAACTTTAGTACTTATACAACAATGTTCCCATCCTTCCTATCTTTAACCCCTTTGCTACCGCAGTTTCAGAAAAAAATCACTGTTTTCAACTCAAGTTACGTATTTTCAACTCGATATTATTTTACATAATAGGACGTGTATTTTTACATATATAACAATATATAAAAAATATCAAGTAAATATTCCAAACGGCTTTGAGAATTCGTCGTACATGTGTACGTCATATGACACTGCTATGACACAATGTCCGACAATGCCGGACCAGTAATAATTTGTCGTTGTCTATAATATACAGAATAATATCGATATATCATCTTCAATGAAAATAAATAAGATGTGTCACACATGTGACACTGGACTATGGAAAGTAACTAATGCGTCACATACGTGTGATACGTGGTAGCGAAAGAGTTGAAAACATTTTCTTAACAATATCAAACAACAGATCTGTGGGGTTCGGGTAAAAGTCGTGTCTAAAAGAAATTTCTGACGGGAACGAAGTCTCGCCAGGATTGCAGCTAGATTCTCCAAGGTCTAAAAACGTATTGGAACTGACTGTTGGTATATAGTGTAATATTTAGCCAGCATTGTGGTTTGGTCGAAATTGATGCGGTGTCCAGTAGTTTAATGATGTTCGGCTATGACCGGCTGTACCGTATTTCAATCTGGTTCGTCTCTCATGTTCTTTAAGACGTGTGTTTACGCTCCTCCCGGTTTCTCCGATGTAGACTTTGCCACAAATACACGGTACCTTATATACCCCTGGAGTTGATAAAGGCGACAATAGAACCTTGGAGAAAATAAGGATTTGGACGATTTCACTGTCTAGTTTAAAAACTATATTCTAATATCGCTCCTTTTTAAGATTTTGATAATGCGGTCGATAGTATCTTTGATTTGTGGGAGAAAGAGCGCGATGACGATTTTTGTACGGTTTTCCTTGTTCCCGATTCTTTCGGACTTTGCATCCTGTCGGTCGATCGATTATTCTTCGTTTTCGAATTATTTTCAAATACAGCTTAAAGTTATTCGCAAAGATATCAACGAACATAAGTTTCATACAGTGATACCATTAAATCAATAATCACGAAACGAATTTATTGCAATTTGAATGTACCTTACAAGTTTAACCGAATCGATAGCAGCCAATCCTCGAGCTGAAGTACATCATTCTCGACGAACGTACAAATCGCGCGATACGACCGTTTTCCAATCAGTAAGCTCACTCATTGACGGTCTAATTAAACCTCTTCCCCATCTATCGAAATTCTCTGCATTCCAGGTGTAATCGGTTTAATCATTTACGTGCTGCAGTATACGCTGCTTAATTCTAAGCGAATCCTTGAAGCTCTATGTACCCGGTGCGTACGCTCGTTGAATATAAATCTGTTACACTTATTTATTATTTCATGAATATGCATTTCTTTTAAGACAGGCTAATGGCTTGTCACGATATAGAAAAGCACGCAACGGTAGTTATACAGGCTAAACATCGATTAAAACATCGATTGAAAAAATATTGACCACGCCACTTGAATTTAACTCCGATCTTATTATTATCCATTTTCAATTCTTTCACTAGACGCGTACTAAACATCACATTCAATGTTTTGCTTCAAATCAAATTTCAATCTCGAAGCTTGAAGATTAACAACATAAAGGACTAAATATTATATGTTTTTTTTTATATCTTCAAATTTATGATACAATGAAACATTTCAAACGTACAAAATTATTCGAAAGGAGAATAATAAAATGCGGAGATCTTCGGGCCTCAACGTCTTACATAAGGCAAGCTATACATATATTAACCAACTTTTTTACATTGTCCGATATAATTATTTCATTCGTTGTTCTGAAACATTCAGTTTATGATTAACATAAAATTGATATTATCAACAATTAGAAAGATATTATTAGTGTAAGGATTAAATATTTACATTAATATTGGCACATTCTTTGAAACAGAATAACTTGTTTCTAAACCCGTACCAAATGATTTCAGCTCTTTTGAGAAGTTAAAAAGATTAGTTTACTAAATAGATGATGCGCGAAGTAAATTTCGAGAAAATTGCAATTGGTCGGAATTGCGAAGATGATAGCAAAGATCACTTTTTACAATCTTGTTATTCGAACTTAATGAATTAGGTTTTGCACATTTATGTCAGTACGCACATGCTGAAAACTTTATGGAAATCTGTGAAAATGGTAGTTGTATGGGCTGCAAATGGGGTTAAAAACTGAAATTTTACTTCCTTCGGATATTTTTTCCCTCGCAAACACATTCACGAACGGCTAAGTCCACTCGCTTCAGATTCGCCAAAACCACTAGATTCATTCGTCCAATCATTAATTTACGATCACTCTTACAAATAGAAAATTCTGTTTAACAATGTATTGTCTGGAACTTTGAAAATTGCTTTCATGTTAATGGATCGTATTATCGGTATTTGAAGTTTGATTGTTAACATCGTCTGTGACGTATCTAAAGAAACCCTCGGAAAGAGATAACACGTTATCGACACATTGATAACCAAACAGCACATTGTTTGATTAACAGGGCGTCAGTTTGTTTGAATTCTTCCACATCCGTGTATTGCTATGGGGAATTATCTGTCAACCAACTATATTCTTCCTGAAGAAACACTTGTCACTTATGTGGAATTAACATACTTAAAAAAGAACGAAATACAGTAGTGAGTAACAAAAAAAAAAAAAATATTCGAATTACGTATAAAGTGCATAAGTTTTGTTATTGCATAGTGCATTGAAAAGTTAAAAGCATAAGTTAAAAGCAGAAGATTCATAATTTTTTCAATACTCTTTCTCGATAATATCATTTCAATATATAATAATGTTACATACATACCAAGTACTATGTATTAAAGTTACATTAATGCCCTAAACAAAATCTAAGCTTTCATTGTCATAATTATAACTAAGGAAATACATAATTTGTAAATTTAATTGTAAATACAAGATATCAATAAAGGAGAACAAAATTTCATTATTCTACAAAGTCGTAGTTCGTGACTAAAATTCTAAATTCATATTTTCAGTATTGTTAAAATACTTGACAATGTAAATCCAGGAAAACTTTGTGAAAATATTCAGCATCGTTTCACTATTGACGAAGTCGAAACCATATTGCCACAAATTCGAGTAAGTCAACTATTACTTCATATTTCGGCTAACTATAGTAGTAAATAGAAAACTGTAAATATTTGTATTTATAATATATTAGTGTTAAGTTAACATTTAGTATTTAAGATCTGACTGAAGTAATGACAGTTTATGAACACTTTTATAATAATGAATCATCTTTCACCTATCATTTTGATAAGAACAACGTATACGTGTATATAATATACACATCTTATTCGTTGATGAAATACAATATTTCATTTTGTCGCACTGAAATTAGCCAACTAGGATTAATAGAACATTAATCCGCGATAATTGTATGCAATTTTACATAACGTTTCATTGGTAGTTTGTGCATAGAACACAAATTTTCGAAATTTATTAATTGGGAACGAAATATGTTACACATAGCAAATTTCCTAATTATGTCGAAGTGAGTTGAAGTTTTACATCATTTATTTCATGACATATGAGTGACATTCTTAGAACTTGCAAGCGAATGCCGCCTGTTAGATAGTAAAATTGATATTTCCTCTTTCTGTATAGTTAATAATAATAAATAATAATACATAGTTAATAATGTAGTGCAGATAAATTATATCGTTCGATACTGTTTAATTTTCAATATTGTAATACTAATTTATTTTAGTGCAGTCCATTTCGTGATTCGATATATCGAGTATTTTCTTCACAAAAAGACAATCATTTAAGTTTGGAAGACATATTGGATTTATGTTCTGCCTTCTCTAAACATTGTCCTTCGAAAATTCGTGCTGCTTGGGCATTTTACATTTTTGGTAAGACACTATTTATAACTTAAAATTCAAATTCTTTTTAAGATAAAACGTTAATTTAACAACTTAATATACGTTTGATAGTATTTTGTATTTCTTTGTACCAGCGCTTTTTAAACTTTTCCTATTCGCAACCCCACTTTGCCAGGGAAATTAAATATTAATTGGTAATAAATCGCATGAATTTTAAACAATTCTTTGTTACATTTAGGAAGTTATTACTTATTATCGCTTGTTAAGACGAACCGAAAGCATATTGTCGTATAGGAACATTTGGTAAATTTTTTAACGATAATTGTAAATGTAGCACGTAGATGTTTCCTTGTTTGACAGGGCATCCGTATATACAACAATTTTAAGCGTAGTCAATTTGTGAGCAAAAGTATCGTTTTATTACTGCGATAGAGGATGATTAGTATGTCTTCTGTGCAGTCTTCTAGGTAGATTCACTGTGTAGAGTTTGGTAGTTAGGTCGTTAGGATGATTGTCTAATCTGGTTTTGTATTTGCCACTCGAGTGTATAATTTCCTCCGTGACTAAACTGATTCTCAGATCTTCACGGAGTTCGTCATTTCGCACATACCACGGTGCGTTTACTGTGGTCCTGAGCACAATAGATCGTAGTAAAGCTTCTAATTTAGCGATCTGCCTTTTAGCAGTCATCCCCCCTCCCCCACAGCACAATATCTTACGCTCAAATGAGTTTGACGATTGTTTTGTAGACGACAAGTTTATTATGTACACTTAATTTTGCCAGTGTGCTAATGAGTTAATATTTTAATGGTTCTTATTTAGCTTACTTTCCTGTTTGTTTGTCTGCCTGGGTGTAATCTTGCAAGCGAGATTTCAATCAAGTACAGCATAACCATACAACGTAACATGTCAATAATAATACAATATAAAAAGAGAAGAAAATAATTGAATGCACTAATAATCACATCATTGAACAAATATTGCCAAAAATAAAAAACTGGCGGACTTGTATTAGTTTAGTTCCAAAGTTTCCGGTATTTCAACACTTACAAAGACTCTCTATTTGATTAAATAAATCTCGGGCTCGTGATTCGAATCAAATATCCTTCCATTTTCACCTCGTAATCATTAGAAAATCGCCTTTGTTGCCGTCATTAGCTTCATCCAAGAAGACAGAAGAAGTGTTGGAGGATACATTGCAAGGTTAATACAACCAGTCCACCAGGTTTTTATTTTTAATAATATGTATTCAAGAATCGAGTGATATTCTATCGTGTGTACGATTACCGCGTGTGCTCAACATATACAGGTTACCTCGTGTATCATTATTACATCGAATTACTTAATGACGCCAGGTTAAGAAACTTATTTTCTTCTTTTTAGTACACTTTTGAATAGAAATTATTTTCTTTATTTTATTTTTTCACTTATATATATTTTATTATTTTCTGTGATTTGATCAATCTCTTTGCGTATGCGTTGTTTTCACGTTAGTCGAGAATCTAAGTGCATCCCTAAGTATGTAACTATTTTTGATCGAATCGTAAACAGTAGAATTCATATAAAAAGGTAAAGGTGTCGATTGCTATGGATTAAATTATGAAATATCTAACTTCCTTTCTTTGGACTTGTCTGGGGACAAAATTGATTTGAAACAGAACATATTAAAACATGAAGTTAAACAAGGGGAAGACAGAAACGACTTATAATCCTCTTCGATCGCAAATGCCTATCCGATATTATAGGCGCATCAGGAGTTCGCTCGATTTCGTTAATCGGGATCGTTTAATTTCACGGTGCACACGATATCGCGTCAATGCTCGTGAAAGCAGAGAAATAATAGGGCTGAGCGAGAGTCGAGAATAGCTGCATATGTAGCTACGTGAAAGGAATGAGAATACAGGCGGACAAGAGGAAGAACAAAGTCAGCCGAATTGGAAAAGAAGGTAGAAAGACGAATAAAGAAGCAATAAGAAAAACTAATGGGCATTTATTAAGTTTAGAGTTGAGAAACATGCAGGAGCAAATACGTAATAAAAATGTCAGTGGATAAGTAAATTAAAACATGTTTAAAATTTTAATGTTTTAAGATTTTTAAGGTTCTAAGTGTTTTGAATGTTAATACAAATAATTATTCAAATACTTAATTATTGTGTAATGAAAATCTGATTGAAAATGAATAAACGATTAATTGCATATTTATTAAGTTACTAAATGTAAAGAAACCAAAAGAATTTTATAATTGTTCATATTAGATATATACGAATAGCAACAAAATATTTATAAATTGATGTAGAATCGCTAACTTAATTAAAATTAATTGAAATATGTGCAAGGTCAAGATCAATATAAATTTATTTTCTATTGCATCATATTCTACTCATCACGAGGATCAAAAGCCTGAAACGAACCACGCATCGGAATAAAACAGAACTAAAGAGGGTGTTGTTGCGTTAATCTACATTGGATAACGCAATGACGACTCAATTTAGGTAAATTCAACGTATTTCCGTTTCATTCCGTTTCCGCGTCTTGTATAGAGAAATGTATATTAGGTTACTGAACTGTTCGAACGATACGTAGAATAGAGTCAGACAACTCTATACGAACAACGGCACCGTTAATACCTTCATTTCCAGACTTCGACGGCGACAATCAAATCTCAGTGGACGATTTGATCGAAACTGTGCACAGATTGACACGGTGCGACCAGGACGAACATGAAACCATTGATTCGGCGACAGCGGAACACGTCGCGCGAATGGCAAGTTTTGATACTATTTACTTCTATGAGTTGATTTTGCAGATAAACGAACAACGTAGCGCAACAAACGTTTCATTCAATTAACAATGATAAATATTACCGCTACGTATTATCCGTATAATCGTTACTTTTATTTCACCAATACGATGAACATATTCCGAAGAATAGAAACAGATCTTTTGTCTTAAATCTTGCAATAATAACTCTTATCTCTATAATAACAAAATTTTATTACATAGTAGTAGAGTTTCTACCTCTATTTTCACATTTTCCACCTAAAATTTAACGATTAATTAAAATTTGCAATGTAGTTATGTTAAATCAGAAATCATTTAAAGATACAAGAACTGTATTTACATAATTTGCATGCTACAATGCGGACCATAATATAGTGATAAATTTTTGGCAATTACTTGCAAAGCCGATAACCTCACTGATTCGAATAACCTTGAAATATGTTGCAAAGATCGACATTCTAAACAACTTTTCCTTATACATATATTACTGTCGTTCGGTCTTAGCTTCCTCATAGCGTCCATACTTTCTATAATTCAACCAAACTAAATTTCGATAATCATTTTCAACTCACATGAAAAATCAGTGGGTTAAGTTTGGTTTACATAACTATAACGCCAACTGTGCAATAAGCTAAGGTATGGGATAATAAGACAGATACAATTCGTATTAAGCTTTATATTATATTATTGTTATTCGAAATTGAAGATACTTCAACCACGATATTGAAAAAGAAAATTATGGGAAATGGAATCTTTTGCGAATATCTTGGAAACTAAAGTGACATGCGTAAGGAAAAGTTGTTAAAAATGTTAACCTTGATAACATATTTCAAGCTCATTCAAATCAGCGAGACGTCCGCTTTGTAAATAATTGCTAAATCTGTTTTCTTATTAGGATTTTTAAAGATTTTGAGGTAATCTGCATATAGCTACCTTCTCACTTTTTTCATAAAACGCTGTGCGTTTCTATTTTTCGTAGAATAATAAATATTTTCACAATGAACAGTACAAAAAATGTGTAGCTGCATAATAAAAAGTGTGCGAAGCGATGTGTGTTTGTATTACTAGTCAAATATTGGAATCATCCGGTCTTTGACCGCTTATTTCTACTCTTATTTTCGAATTGATTATAACATACGTTGCAATAGTTTGTTGCTCTACATTTCCTAGTCTAATCGATTCATTTATATCTACAATTAGTTACACGTAGCTACGGTGGAGTTCCGTTTATACAAACTCCATTTATATAAACGAAATTTTAGTTCGATTATTATTATTATTACATATTATTTAATTCCGTCGAAATAGAAAAATGTAAATTGTACAGCGTAAATACGAGAGGAGTTGCTTTTAAACCGTCCCAACATAACATATTATAAAACCGCTTCTCTGCTCCACTCGTTACGATAACGCAGAAACGTTATTAATTAGGTCAGCTGTCGTCAGTAGTAATCGATCACCAAAGCCAGTTGATTTACGAAGAACTCCATTATGCTCGTCCACATGCTTCTGTCAGCAACGAGAAAATTCAATATATGGTAACTGGGCAAGAATTCCGTGTTTTCATGAAATACGTATAATACATCAAAATGAATCGATTATCTCAGCATGTTTTTATTTATTCTACTTTGCATCTGTAACCGACTCAATTTTGCATGCAACCGATGATACTGAGTTTTCGAGTAAATGAATATCCAGCAAAATTGTGTACCATGTTAAAAAGTTAATATTACAATTACAAGAGTAGGTATCGTATAAGGATTCAACGATCGTTTCGACTCCAACGTAGTGGGTTTTTCCTGGAATTTCCTTTTTGCAGGAATAGGAGGTTTAATAGTAATAGTTAACGTAACATAACGCGTCTCGATCCTTACACATATCTATAATATAATGGTGAAGGGGAGAGAGCGCGTATGATGATAAAGAACTTTGTTGGAATAAAAACTTTTTATGGAATGAACACTATAGAGCTGGGGGGGGGGGGCCCCCCCCCC